ACTAAACCTTTTCCAAAATACACCTAGGGGGGTGTTCTAGGACCACCGATTCCAGGAGTAAGTTTTAGAAGGGTTTACACCGAAACGTTTGGGAACTTAAAAGTATAACATTATCTTATTTGAATCTGATCTACAAGTAATGATTTGTTGAACTTTAAAAACAATTATAGGTACATAATATTTACATACCATAGAACATTCTATGCCAGTAGTTTACTTAGAAACTTGTTTAAGTAGTTACCTATTAATATAATCACATATTCACATCCATAATAAATCTATTTAGAGGTTTGAATATGAACAATAATTGTTTATACTTATAATTATTAATAGCTGAACTACGAATTTCAATCATGAACATCTCGAAAATGATTATTATATAAATACAATTTGTTGCGCATGTATAATGCTATAATATGACACGTCTCAACATCTACTAATAGGACAACAGGTATAGTAAATTAGTAAATTATAGATTATGTTTATTCTATAAAATAGTAGTATTGTACTTTAGTATTAGTATAGTAGTATAATATACTAATACCCTTTTCAGAACCATTGGGGTCGTCTGTTTGTGGATGAGATTAATCCCTCATAGGAGAACGATAAATGGTGAAATCTGAAGTTAATTGATAGAGAATTTTATGGAGATTCCATTTAAATGATCAGTGTACCGACATTTTTTTTAGTTAAATCGATAGCTTCGAAAAACCATAAAAAATCAAAAAAACCATACAAAAATCGCTTTATCAATAATCAAAGACTAAAATTATGATAACAAATCATTAATCACTGTAACCATGGTTCATGTTTCAGATGGTTATCACTTCAAATGCAAACAATATGTTCGATTATTATGTAAAAAATAATATAATACGTTAATATTTTGAATTATTTTTGATGATTTGAAGTTTTTTGTCGAATTTATTAAATATTTTATCTTGTTTTACTCTTTACTCTTTAAGTATGTTTTATAATGTTAATTAATACGTTCACTACCTTGTGCAGTTGTGCAATATACAAGTCACAAATCTAAACAGTTTACCCTCTGATGTGGTTTTCGTAAGTCGTACATAGTTTTTGGACTACAAACCTGCTTGTGTATTTTGTTTTAAGCTACAGAGTAATTATTTTTAGGTAAAATGTATCGATAAAGAATTAAAACCATTGCAAAAACCAAGTTAAACTTATGGTATCTACAAGCTACAACAATTACATTCAAACCATCATAAATCAAATCATGTAAGTAGTGTAAAGTGTTAAAATCCCTGTAATGTATTTAGTGGATGCGTGCCAAAGTGAAGGTGGGTACCCAAATGACTCCAGTCTCAAACACCTAACTGGCTAGACTAGTTATAATTTATACTCTCATGATCTCTTAGGGCCCGTGTTTAAAGTCTGTGAAAAAATAAGTCTAAAATAAGAATAAAATTAGTGTGTGGTGTGGGTACATATTTAAGGCAGTTGCTTCACAGGAAAAACAGTTTACCCTTCCACTGAATGTATTAGGTACTTATTGGTTATGATGTATCTGAAATAACTTAACAAATACATTACAACGACAATTATTTATCTTACAAAGTTGCAGTCAGGTGTGGATTGAACACCTGTGTAATTGTTTACTGTTACATTTTAATAAATTTTATAGTCCTGGTAAATGATAGAGTGTGGTGATAGAGTTACTAATTATTCATAATATTAAAAGTTCCATGTGTTTATTGTTATTTTTTATTTTTCTACTTAAGGCATAGGTAATAATAAATAAGTATATGCTATCAGTTCGCAATTATAACACAAGGATGTTTGCGATATTATATTGGAAAAACTACGTGTTGAGAAAATGAATAATGTTGATTGGTTACTATTTTATTGCATCAATTTTTAATATGATATTGCGCGAGTCATTAAATTAATACAATTTTCATAATTATTTAATTAACATTATTGTTTTTTTTTCAGTTTTAGTCAGCAAGATACAGTAACTAATGTATGCATGTACAAGCGGCCAAGCCATTTAAGAGATTGATCTGTTTGGAACAACTTCTTCTGAAAAAAATGGTTCCACATGGTGGTTATGTTCATAGCGTATAATCGGATCAATAGAGTATGGTACCTCAAACTGGTAGACTGTAGCTAGTCAGTATAGTTCATCAGTGTCCTTAGCCATTTAACATTTTTTAACCCTCAACCACCAGACAATCACACATATAATAAAAATGTATACATCATTTTTAAATTTTTTTTTTTAAAAAGTAATAATAATTATTAGGATTATAATTAACTACACTCATATTTATTTACATACATTCTCATAAAAGTTAATAACCTTTTTTGGTAAGATATATGGTACCAACAAAGTTATGGATTTATTACATTTTAATAAACCAAGTACTCACCTGTACAATCTTTTTTTTTTTTTGGAAATATTCATCTACAATTATTTAGATAGATTTAGTCTTGTTCACAACAATTCACTTCTTCTACTTTGACACTTGATACAAATACTTACAATTTTATAAAAGTAAATAACAATTAATAAAATATTTGAAAAAAACAAACAAACAAATTTTGTATTTTTGAAGTTAATATTTTTAGTATAGTTGAGCTCTACTTTAGGGAATTGAAATTTGTCTTATTAATAGAAACAATAAAAAAAATAATAATAATTGGTTAAAATGTAATTTTAAAAATGAATTTATATTTTGAATACCTATGCTAAAATAATTTAAAAAAAAATAAAATGTCCTTGGCTGATTGTGTTTATGTTTAAATATTTACTGGACTGTTGTGTGCGTAATCTCAAAGGCTCCAAAAGCCGTAAGCTTTAGAGACAAATCAACAAGTACCAAATTGAACTATAGAATTATGTTTATTCAGCAGAAAATATAGTAATAGTACAATAGCGTGTGCGCGTGTGACGAGAAGTTGCTCAGGTCTACGTGGCTATGATACATCTGCCCAGGCTGTCCCACGGACTCCCTTATAAGTGGTGGCGGTTCCTTTGATTGTAGCGGCGCGTGCAGCTTGTGTGTGTGTGTGTGTGTTTTCGGTTGTTGTTGCCGATTCTTAGAATAGCGACTTGTGTCCATGATTTCTAATCGTGCACCTGTCCAGTGATTTATTACACAGATAGGGGCAGATAGTATATATTCTATACTACATTGTTATAATATGTATGTCAATTATATATACGGAGTTTAACGCCGTAATAACATTATGAAAGGTTAATATATTCTATATTGCATTGTTATAATATTATATTATATATGCGGAGATGCCAAGGCCCGCAACAGGACTAAAAGATTAAAATATCGTATCACATCACTGTCCAACGAGTTTTCAATATTACTCTATTGATAAATATCTCACCTTTGATTACTAAACAAAATTTTGGTTTCATAAGTCCTAGTAAGATTTAATCAAACAATTGTATTAAACTGTTAGTATAATTATTTGTACATAATTTAATTCATTCTTTAGTGGTAAATTAGCTACTCTTAAACTATTTTTGCCCATTAACTGTTAGTTTATTAACAATTTTATACATTGCATTTTGACACAACCTTGATGTCTCTTAACATAATATCATGATGCTATCTAGCCGACAGGAGGTAATTAAAAAAAGTTTTGAAATATTATTTAAGTTCTTAAATCTTGCAGTAACCTTGTTACATACATTATTGTTTAAAATAAATGATTACATGTGAATAACAGTATGTTTTCATATTTATTTTCTTAAATATTTTCATGAGTTTTCTAAATTAAACATGTGGGCTTCCTAGTCTTTCCTAATCTATATAATAAGAATCTAACTTGATTTTGGAGACGAAGGAAACCGGTTTTGAACCCTCATTATAATAATAATAATAATAATTAACTGATTAGCAATTATTTTCATATATTCACGAATAACGATGTCTATTGTTTCTTTTTTTTTTTTGTTTATTTATTTTATAATCATTGACCAATAATAATGTACAAAAAATACGCATGCGCGTTCCCTTATTTATTCGATCGATGAGATCGACAGCTCCAACTCCAATCGTTCAGTAGTTTGTCGTATAGCATTATACTAACTATACATTATTTTTTTTGTCAAGTGTTATTTAAATATATAATTATTTCAATAATAATTATTATTATTATGAGTAATAAGAGGTGCATCGTTTTACATTGTGAAAATCGTTCAAATTGCAATCAGGCAATTTCATCGTATGCAATTCCAAATGGAGAAGAGAGGTATTTAATAACACTTAATACTTAATAATTGTAATTAATAATTTTATAAAGTGTGCCCACCTAATGATTTAAATATTTATAGGTTAATACAATGGCTTAATAGTTGCAACAGGACCGATTTGTTGGAATGCGAAACCAATTTTCGTACGAATAATAAAAACTTAAGAGTGTGCAATTGTCACTTTGAAACCAATATGTTTTTTACTACACAGCGTAAGAGGTTAAGACCAAATGCTGAACCCACATTATTTGGTATGTGGTATATATACATTATTAAATAATATATCTGTTTATTTATTTATTTTTTTATTAAAGAAAGATAACCCTCGGCAACTTGGACATATCTGTTTATTATACTTCGCCTATGTTTCACTACCATTTATTATTATAAATGCATATACTTTAGGTGATATACCGTTCAAGTGGGTAAAATTCCGGTCTGCCTATTTATACCAACCTAAGCATCCATATTATGACGACAATGATGTCTGTATCGGTGTAATGGATGTCATTTGTCAATATTGCAATGCAATGAAATTTAAAGGTACCTTATTAGTGTATACATTTTTAGAATTTTGAAAACGTTTTATATTATTTTCTTAATTAAAGGAGAATCTGCTGTTATGTGTTGTTCAAATGGAACTGTTCGTATTCCGAATATCAATGAACCACCAGAACCAATGAAAACTCTTTTGGAAAATTCAACAAATATTTCAAAACACTTTTTAGAAAATATTAATAAATATAATAATGCATTTCATATGACCTCATTTGGAGCGGCAGAAACTATTGTCGAAAATTATATGCCTACATTTAAAATAAGAGGTCAAGTGTATCATTTAGCCGGATCGCTGATGCCTTTACCAAATACAAATCATAAATATTTACAAGTTTATTTTATGGATGACGAAGAGGAACAAATAGATGCGCGAATGGGTGTTTGCAGTGGATTGAATAAAGGTAATTGTATTGTATAATATATTTGTTGTTTAAAACGTTTTAATTTATATATTTATACATTTAGATATTATAAGAGATTTGCAATTATTGTTACATAATGTCAATCCTTTAATTACGAAGTTCAAAACTGCATTGGATCATATGCCCACTGATCAATACCGAATAGTCATAAATGCAAATATGGTTCCTCGAGGTCAACATAGAGGTAGATTTAATGCACCATCTCAAGTAGAAATGGCTGTAATAATGATTGGAGAAGAATATGGAAATCGCGATTTAATTTTATCTAGAAAAGATGAAAAGTTACAACGAATAAGTGAAACTCATAGGTAAATTCATTTTAAAGTGTATTCACTGTACATTTTTTCTTAATTTTTATTTATGTGTTTTTAAGGTCTTATGATTCTCTAGAATATCCACTGATATTTCTATACGGTGAAGATGGTTATGCTATTGATATTTTGTCATTTAATGTTAATTTAAATGAATACAATAGTCATAAAACTGTTTCTTCAAAACAGTATTATGCTTATAGAATGATGGTGAGGCATCATATCTACAATCATTTACATAATTATAGAAAACTTATTAATAAATATTGGGTAAGTAAACAATATTTTTTCAATTTAATCAAAAACATGTATAAATATTTTAATAATACAAAAATAATGTAATTTTTAATTTTAATTTTTTCTAAAGGTTGATATGTATGCCAAAATAGAATCAGAACGGCTTTTATTTATACGAAATAATCAGTCAAAATTAAGAGCGGAAGATTACATTCATTTACGTGATGCTATAGAAAATGATGGTCATGTGAATGACATTGGACAACTTTTTATTTTACCTTCTTCATTTACAGGAGGTCCAAGGTAGTAAAATATTGTGTATCTTATAACTTAAAATTGCTACGAAAAATGTACTGTAATATTAATTTTAAAAATCTAAAATTGTACATACTATTAATTTTTAGATACATGCACGAAAAAACTATGGATGCCATGACTTACGTTCGTAATTTTGGAACTCCAAATTTGTTCATTACATTTACATGTAATCCAAATTGGACGGAAATAAAAAGAGAACTCAAACATGGTCAAACCCCACAAGACAGACACGATATTATCGCTAGAGTTTTTCATCAAAAACTTAAAGTTCTAATGAACTTAATTGTGAAACATCGTATATTTGGTGAAACGCAGTGTTATATGTATACTGTTGAGTGGCAAAAACGTGGTAATACACGAATGGTATTATTTATTTATTTATTTTTCTTCGTATAATTATTCATTATTTAAGGTCTTCCTCATGTTCATTTATTGGTTTGGTTAGTTGATAAAATTAGACCAAATGATGTCGATAGTATAATAAGTGCTGAGTTACCAAATCCCGATATTGATCCTGAACTATTTGAAATAGTTAAAAAACACATGGTGCATGGCCCATGTGGCTATATGAATCCAAATTCTCCATGTATGGGAGAAAACCAAAAATGTTCAAAAAGGTAATAATACATTTTAATATTCAGTATACATATTTAAATCTATTTCATATTAATAACTATTATACATTTATATAAATGTTATGAATTATAATTTATATTTTTTTAAATTAAGTATATTTATAAAATTTCATGATTTGTACTTATATTTTTTATTTGTTTAAGTGTAGGTATTTAGTTATTTTTTAGTGCAAAAGCGCATACGTATGTATTTATTAAACTATTTTAGCAATAATGCAGTTTAAACTTTATAAAGTTCCTCATATATATTATGAAGTTAAATTCTATTGATAGGATTTTCTTTGTAAGTTATGAGTAAAAACTTAATTTTCAAGTTATATAATAGATATATTCAAGTGCCATGCAGTTACCTACTTAAGGTGGTTTTACATAACAAATCGTAATTAGTTTAAGATTAACATTATTTAGCATTTTTATTGTATACATATGCAAAGGAATGCATATTTAATAAAAAAAAATTAATTTGTTCTATTAGGTATCCGAAAGCATTTACTAACAGTACTATTACTGAAGATGATGGATATCCTTTATACAGACGAAGGGCTTTTGGAAGTGGTGGATTTAAATCAACTGTATTACGAAATTCGACCTTAGTAGAAATTGATAACAGATTTATTGTTCCATACAATCCATT